TTGACAAATGACAACAAAACTATTTGTTAAGACTTCTCGTATAATGAATATTGTTAGCTTCTAAGAACCCATAAGAGTGTTTCTTTCAATCCTAATCAACGGGTAAAGAACTAAAAAAATAATTAAACATGGGCTAGTAGCTACGTAAATAAAATTATCGGTTTACCTTTCCAGCATTAACGTCAGAGAAGAAGATGTGTTTATACTAGCGCTGCCTGTGGCGCGTGTTTGTGGCACACTATTGATGATGAGCGCTTTAGCCCATGGTGCTGCGTTCTTAGTCCTGCCTTACCTCAGTACTCCTGAGGAATACAGTCAAGCTATTAACAATTCTATATTAATGCCTGTTGTTGGGGGCACTATGCTCTCATAGCCTAATGTTTTTAGTGCATCACATGACTTTGCAATCTACTCGGAAAATATGAAGTGAATAAGACAAAGTTTCTTAAACGAACAATTTCAATTTGTATTAAAACACAATGCGATATAATAACAATGTGTCGCGCAAACAATAGTGCCCGCTCAGGCGGGCACTATTGTTCCATAGTACCTGCGACGTTATCCAATAGAATTTCAACGATTTATCATATGATGCGATGTCATGTGATGCACTAAGTACAAGGTAAATGCACAATAAAAAAATTTATTATGGTACATTTAAGATTTGTGAATGTATTCTAGGGTGTTGTGGGTTGCTCTAGTACATTACGTGAGGCTGTTTCAATAATTGACATATGATATGAATTCAATTTTAGTAATACGCCTATATTGTTGTATTTTTAACATACTTGTTCGCACTTTTTCAATGTTTTACCTAAATTATTTCGTTATGTTTCAACTTAGGTCAGTTATCTTTTATGCATCCCTCCGTTGATCGTGAGCTTAATAAAGAAGCGGTGCCAACTGCCAACGGTCGAACGCTGTGACGCAGGTGGCAGTACCTGCAGCCCAGCAATTCTCAAAGAAGCCAAAATTACACATCCACGGCTTATCATTAACCCCAGTATGTTTATAATAAACAAATACTAGTATCAAAATGTAACGACACATATTGAAACTAAAACAACTTTAATTAACAAAAAATTATTGATTCAATTACGGAAATTGTTGTTGCTATGTTAGCTAATGTTCAGCATCGTCATTACGAGGAGTAATTAATATCATATTATTACTTCTTCATTATGATAGTTTAACTTCGTATATTTAGCCATCTACGGAATGTCCGAATGCGGGTTTGTCATAACCGCTGTAACGGGAACCGAACAAGCTAGCGACAAAAGAGGATGTCTTATAGGAAAACCTATCGCTAATTCACAAGCCAAGGTAGTATAACTATTTCTGTCTTCGGTGTTGCTTGGAGAGTGATAGTAGTCGAGTGCACATATATGGTGGCGTAGGCTTGATTACAGTATCACAATAAACAACGAGATTCATACTCCATGCAATAAATTAAAAATTACGATCATCAGAAAGCTATTAATGAACTATTATTAAACGGAGAAATGCTGGCCGCATTTGTATAGGTAGTGGACTCAATCACTAAGAGGCTGCTGCCCCCTGGTGTAGCGGGGGAACTGTGCGTTCGTAGTGCGTATATAATGCGCGGC